GGTACACCAGTCGGTCTCGAGCAAAACTTCCCTCCGCGAACAAGAATCAAACCCGCGACTTAAGACAGTCACTCGACGGAGGCTGAATGTTCTCCGCAGTAGGTCAGAGGTAGAGCCCCAACCGTTAATTGGTACTTGGTGGGTTCGATTCCTGTTCGATTCGGAGGAAAGTTTTGCTGGAAACCGAGTGGTGTACCAATATCATTAATGTTATTAAATGTGTATTATTTGTCATACTTATGGTGCTATGTAGAAATCTGAAAATATTAAATGTGCTTCCAAAAAGCCAACTAACGAAGAAAGTTGAGTGAGAGGTGAATAAGTGCGAGCAGCAAGAAGAGTATTTGAATAAGTTAAATGAAGTGTAATAAAATAAAATGGAGCGTATTAAAATAATAAGCGATGTAAATTATAAATGAATTAACAACTGCTTAACAGCTCATTCTGATTTGCTCGTAATTAGAAGCTTTGGTTGCTAAGAGATTCGATTACAACTTATACTTATCGTTCTTAGCTGTATTTGTTAATAAATATTATTATTATTATTAACATTTGTCTGTTATATAGTCTAATATCGCTAGTTTGTTATGAAGATGATGGCTTATTTGCGGTGGGAAAAGTGAAGTAGCCTTGAGATGAAGTGATATTAATAATAGGATTGATGTGAAATGATAAGTTGTTTAAGAGAGCCTGAAATGCTCAAAAAATAGACGCGACGTGAAAAGGTGAGGTTTCCAGAGGCATAAGTTGAATCAGTCAGTGCATTACGGTTGAAGTTTGCTGGCTGACGCTTGCCTAGCAGTCATACAAGCCTTCGATCACTGTCCATTCGTATCTCTTGACTGAAACATATGAGAAATATTTTATTGAGTATTTGATGTATTTATGAGTGATTTTAAAAGTATATTAATGAACGAATATTTATGATAATGAAATTAATTATACGTATTCGGCTTCATGCTCACTCATCTTCCTAGATGTCGATAGCGCAGAGATGCTCGTCAATTTCATGAACAAATGCACATTTGGGTGATCTATTTAGTTGCTCGCAGAGAAGGATGTCCAGCAAGAATGTGAGCATAATACAAATTTTATTGAATCCATTTTATGATAACACTTTCCTGAGCCATCTGTGCTGCGTATCATCTAATTTGAACCTGATTCGATATTTTTGGGGACTTCTCAATAATAACAATAATAATAATAACGTTCATAGTAGCAATAAAAACAATAGTAATAATAATAATAATAAATATTAATAATAGTAATTAATAATAACAATATTATCAATAATGATAAATACTGATACCAACAATAATAATGATTAATACTAACAATAATAATCTTAGGAATAATAATAAATTACAACAATTTATGTACTTAAATATCT